CTAAAATCCCCAATTCGGTCCTATCGTTTGGGTGCTGAAGTGTAGATGTTAGCCCTCAGGCGAGGGGAACATGAGAGCTCCGAAGTGAGAGCCGGTATCCTCCCAGCCTAGCCAGAGATTCAGTAACCAAGAATAAGATTAGTCAATATTTTTTATGCCTGAACTAAAGGGTAAAGAATATGTATGCTCATATTTGGCACAATCTAATTTGAACTGATTCACTTTATTCATTCACTTTAATTTCTTGACAAGGAGAATGATGTTTTCTTATATATTGAATTTCACATTAGAAACTTTATTAGTAGAATTAGTTATTTAAGAGTTATTAAAATTACATATTTATTTCAATTGCCTATTAGTGACAGATAAGCAATTTGAATTATATTGTTATGATTAAGTATTGATTTTCTAATATCTTAGTTCGTAGCCTCTAATATTACTCCCTATGGGATTGATATCTAGGACTCCATTAGAGCCCTGTATTACTTGAGCGATACGTATACTTGCATTGATAAGTGTGACTTTACCATTATTGAATATTATATATATACATCTTTATCGAATCTATAACCGTTGTCAAGTTTTTGGTGTCATTGCTGAGAAATTAAATCTTCTAGCAGCAGTATTAAATACTTGTATTTTTAAGCATATATAAAGTCACTGTCAGAACCCATAGTGTGTGAACTAATTTATATATTTTATATAACATTTAAATTTTGCACATTAAATACTTAATATAAATTGGGTCAAGTTTTTTATCATATTTTTGAAAGCTAAATTACTGCGTAACTTTGGGTCGAGTCAAGTTTTTGACGTCGTCTTAGGGTAATTAAATTGACATAAAACACGCTGAAAAACAACACACTGCATCAAACATATTTGAGGTAAGTCAAGCATATTTGAGTCCATTTAATATTTGGGCTAGAGATAAATCAATGCACTTATGAAAAATCCGAATTCGACTCAATTAATATACAATCAAGTTTGTTCAAAATAGTAAATAAACAAATTTGAAGACTTTTTTAAAACTCGAATGTTAATGAACCAAATTTTAATAGGATACAAATTATTTATTTATGTGCACAAACGATTCTTTTATCATTCAACAAATAACTTATGAAATGCTCTATGATAAGTATGTTGATAGCCTATATCATGTGATATAATACTTTAAAAAAAAATTATTAACTATAACTTGTCTAATTACATATACAATATTAACATATTATAATTCAAAATCAATATGCATTATAATTTAATATAATTCAATCATACTTTAAATTTTAGAAGAAAAAACTTGGCTATACAAGAGAATAAAAAATTATTAAATTTTAATATTTATGTTAAAAAATTTTAAAGACATACTCTGATCATGCCCTAAGTAGAACAACCAATAAATAGATATTCTTCTACATGCCATTAACAATTTTTTGGCTAAAGTAAATTTTATCTTCTAATGTCAATTTTTTGAATGCAAATTAGAGCATAATTCTTTACAAATGCTACATAATCTAACTAAGGGTCTCTTTGGGGCAGCTACAACTTATTAATAAACTGCTGAAAAAAGCTGTGATGACTATAATTTTTTTTTTTTTTGAAAAAGCCAGACTGTAGGTAGAAAGCTGCAACCGCATCTAGCCAAGAACAGTGTGAAATCACTATTATTAGCAATTTAAAAACACAAACTTTTGAAAAAAAGCTATTAAAATACAGTTTACCCAACCGGTCCTTAAGTTTGAAATAAGCGTCTCCTAATGCCAATATTATTGTGAAAAATGACGACAATAAAGTGAAAAATGGAACGAGAAAATTGCACGCAGAAAAAAAAAACCAGAGCGACACACAGATTTACGTGGATCGACAAATTTTCCTACGTCCACAGATTTGATAACGTCCATGGAGCTACAGAGAATTTTATTTCTTCGAGGAATTACACCATAGAGCGTTTCGATGTTTACAAGAAAATTTCTATTTTCTTCTCCCTTCCTCTCTCTCTCTCTTCCTCTCTTTCTCTTGGCCTTCCACGCTCATTGATGGTCCTGTTCATGCGTTCTGCAACTCTATTTTGCTGCGGTGTCCCCAGAATGGTCTTCTCCATTCTGATATCCTGAGCTGCACAGTACTCCTTGACTTCACCGTCGATGTACTCACCACCATTATCAGACCTCAAACATTTTAGTTTTATATCTGTCTCCATTTCAACCATGGTCTTCTAAGTTTTGAACACAGAAAATACATCAGATTTATGTTTCAGAAAGTAAACCCATACCTTTCTGCTGTGGTCATCTATAAATGTTATGTAATAGCGAGAGCCTCCAAGAGATGCCACTGGGGAAGACCCCCACACATCGGTGTGTACAAGTTCTAGTTTCCCTGCCTTTGGCACCCTGTCACGTTTCAAGAAACTGAAATTATTCTGCTTCCTCATTATGCAACTTTCACACATGTCGAAATCAACGGACTTTAGTTCTAATAGCTTGCCTCTGGACTGACACTCCAAGTCTGCAATGCCACATGTCTGATGTGCTCTCTGCAACTGTGACATCAACACTGTTAATTAGATCAGTAGTCATATATAGCGTACCAGTCTTCTTACCCCGAGCCAGCACCAGTGCTCCTTTAGTAACTTTCCAGGTGTTATCAGAGAACACTACTGAATGACTTCCCTCATCAAGCTGTCCAACAGATATGAGGTTCTTTTTCAGTTCAGGAATGTGTCTAACCTTTTGCAGGATCCATTTATTTTTGTTAGGGAGTGCAATTTCAACATCTCTCACACCCCACCACGTTCAAAGCTGCTCCATCAGTCAGGTACACTTTCCTAAAGTCACCTGAAACATAATTTTTCATTAACTCGTGGTGGAAAAATGTGTGCAAAGAAGCCCCCGAGTCCAGTATCCAGTCGTCAACAGAGCTATGAACTGCAAGCAATAGAG